TAGGCGTCTTCCGATGGAATTTCTTCCGATGGAACATTTTTGTGAAAAAATAACATTATTTAGTATCTCCCAGCATATTTGATTTTAGACAAATAACAACTACTACATTTCTATCGTCTCACGACATAGAATTTACAAAATTTCTTGCGATTTATCTTATATAAATTATATAAGATTATATAAATCGTATATAAAATTCAAATATACATGTTGAAACAAAAATAAATTCGATTCCCGCGCCAATAAAGTAAACTCATAAAGTAAACTTTTTCCGCTTTTTTTCCAACAGCTAAAATAAAAATGGAAATACTTTTTGTAAGGCTTGTGTTTCATAAGTGCACGTAAACGCCAAAGCTTTACAAAATCGAGTCAAATTTCCAAAATAACGAAATAGTATTATACTTGCACACTAGAAACCCGTGCTGTCTCCTTTGATAATTTGAAACCGAAATAATAGACAATTGAATCGACAACCTGTTGAAAAGCACTTTGTAAATGCGTACATAAAAAAAAGATTTCCAGTAAGAGTGGAGCTTTCCATTCACGGCAGTTGTTACTTGTACTTGGAATTTACGCAATTCAAGAACGTAGCTGTACAACGTGGCGCATGAAAAGCAGAGATGGTAGCATTTACGAAATGAGCGGCGAAGAAAAAAAAATGGTGTCCTTTCTACACTTACGGTGTTGAACGCCAGAAGGTGTTAGATTTTTTTTTGTAAATGTATTCCCGAGTATAATTTACAAATGAATCAAGAGTTAGTTAAGAGAGCAAAGAAGAAGAGAAAATTTACGTAACGATATTTATTGCGCGTTAATTTATTACGTGCCCAAATTCAATTACTTAATAATAACATATATGTAATAATTTGTAATACACGTAATAATATCTCTACAGTATACTTATATTTATAAAAAAGTAGGCTAATAAACATAGAATTATCCTTACTGATATCACTGCTATTACTTTTGTTATTATGTGCATTTTATTGTCGCTACGTGTGATCACGTTTTACTGCTCATAAAAATTCGAGTTTCTCATTTGTCAGCGTCTCGGTCGTAGAATTATTTCAGGTGCCATGGCGGATAGTATTTTCCACTGAGAAGACGAAAATAAAAAATACAAATATTTACTCGCGAAATCCAGATAGATTAGTTTTTGAATTAGAGCCAAAACTTTAAATGAATAGTCCGTTCATTGGAAAGACAACCCCAAAGGCGTTGCACGTGAATTGTTATCCATGCGCTTGACAGATGCGTGGACTATCACTTTTCAAACCAACTTTCTGTACGTTCGATTGCAGAAACTCGTGAAGAATTTCGGCGTCATGGTTTATGTTTAGACACGAAGAAAGATTCGCGGCACGACGTGTCCGGTATTGCGCCTGATATTTTCCGGGCTCAAATCTGTTTGTGTAAATTAAGTGTAACGTATAAATCGCGCGTTTAATATATATTTCTCAGTTTAAATAAATGCGACAAATTCAGGTCGCTTTCTCATTAAGCATTCAGCTCTAGTATTCCGCGAATGCTAGATGTAATTGGAAGACTTAACTCGGCTGTACGCAGGGTAGAAATTTTATTAGAGCAACATCTGTCGACGATAAAATTACGTTAAGGTGTCCGAATAAAATATGCGAATATATTATTCGCTTTAAGGAATGGCAATAAAATTAACAAATACAATAATAAAAATAATCGTTAAATGGCGTAAATAATTAAATTATTATAATGCTTAATTATATAATTAGGATGCGATTAAATTGAAAAGTAAATGTACAGATGTAAATTTCGGATAATGAGGAAAAGTAAAAAAAAAATTAAAAACTTAATAATGATTCTAAGCAACTAAGTAATTATATAATTATTTTTTTATTATATTAATTATAATTATAAAAGTCAGAAATGGAAATGCGTTAGAAATTTAACACGCGCCCATTGATTTTTGATTCTACATTCGTTGCATTCAACCGCACGCGTGGAAAATCGCGATGTCGACAGGGTGAAATGTACAATGGAGCAGTGAGACCTGAGCCCTTTTGTAAGTTACACGAAGTAGTTTTAAACTAAGTTATCAAGCTACGGAAACGCGAGTGTAAAAGCAGACTGCAACGCTTTTTCAAGCCCGCCCTCCGATGTTAATGCATTCGAAACCACGGGATCCTGCCTTCCGTGTCGCGGAACGAGGGCATCGCGCCGCAAGTCGCGCGCGAATACGTATATATTACTACCGCTATATAACACCGTTGTGAAGGTCAAAGGTTAAAAGGAACCTCTGACAAAGGGCATGGAATTGGCTCCGTTTCGTGTAACCACAGGCCGAAATTTTCGAACGCGCACCAATTAAAATGTACAACAAAAGGGGAATATTCAATTAAAAACGCACGACTGGATATTAATTGTTTACATTCGAATTGAATAATGTAAGCGCCACGTCTCGGGTTCGTCATTCGAGGCGAAAATAATATCGTTACTGCCTATCTTCGAAAGCTTTTACGTAGATTTAACTCACATGCATATATGCACATTCGCGTCAGCTGTGTTTTATACTAATAAGACAGACAGAGCTAATTTCAAGTGTGAATCTAACACTTATCATTGTCAGACTCTTCTCTCTCTTTCTCTCTCTCTCTCTCTCTCTCTCTCTCTCTCTCTCTCTCTCTCTCTCTCTTATTTGATGTACCCTGTTAAATTCATAGTGTCAAATTATATCCAATTTGAGTTATTTTTAATCATTTATCGGTCGCAATTGCTCATACCCAATGTATTGTTAATTTGACTGGAACAATAGAGTTAAACAATTTAACGGAAGAAAATGTATTAAATTTGACTGAACTTTAGTTTATTATTTACTAAATGCATACGTATTTAATATGAACGATGTTTACTTTGAAACTAACCGCAGAAATGGATTGATTTACATTTTGACACACGTGGAAATTGAAATAACAAATTGTTATTTAACTTGAGAGATTAGATTATCATTGCTCTTTTGATATTTAATAGCGTATGATCCTTTTTGATAAAAAAAAAAGACGAAATTTTTTCGCAACGCGTCGGAACTAAAAGAGTACTTTTTAATTTTTTTAGATAAAATATATAGATAATAACGTACGTATTAAAATGTACTTTATAAAGCAAATTGGTTTTAAAGTATATAAATTCTCTCCCCTAACACTACATGATCGACATTTAATAGGAGATTTCATATCAATTTGGGATGGATTCTTCTTCAAGGATATACGGATAACGAAATCATATCCATCAATTAATTTCAAATACACTTCGATATCAAAGAAGCAATAATAACCTAATATTTTGAATTAAAAATAACTCTTTGTTTTCAACTTTCCCCGTGTACCAAAATGTAAATCAATCAATTTTGTGATCAATTTCATAATAACACATGCATTTAGTAAATTATAAACTAGATTCGAGTCAATTTAATTTTCTAAATTAAATTGTTCAACTCTATTACTTTAGTTAAATTAACGATATATTAAGTATAATAATGGCGATCTATAGAAATGATTAAAAATAACTTAATTTGGATATAATTTGACATTATATGAATTTAATGATGTAGAGAATTTTCATGTAAGATTTCAATTATAAAAGTCATATTATGTGTGTGAGTGAGTGTGTGTGTGCGTGTGTGTATGAATATAAATATGAATAATAACTTTTTGTAACACTCTGGAAGAAACTTTAATTAATTATCACTGTTGTACGTTTGTATTTATTAGCAATCGATTACTTTACCGCTATATACTGTTAAATTCGTAATGTCAAATGGTAGCCAATTTGAGTTATTTTTAATTTGAGTCATTTTTATAGATTGGCACTGCTTCTATTTAATATGTTGTTAATTTAATTAAAACAATGGAGTTCAATAATTTAATTTCAGAAAATGTGTTAAATTTGACTCAAATTTAGTTTTTTCTTTACTAAATACATACGATAATATGAATGTTGTTTATATTTAAACTAATCACAGAAATAGATTGATTTACATTTTAACACATGAAAGTTAAAAATAACAAAGTATTTTTAAGTAAAAAAATTGCGTTAATATTGCTCCTTTAATCTAACAGTGTGTACAGAATTAATTACCTTCAGTTTCGCGATAATTCCTTAAATTAGTTATTTCTCTAGATTATAGTTATCCTGCCTGTATATCGAAAAAAAGTATTTGATAGAAAGGATTAGGCTTAACGTTAAAGTTGATACACGAATGTAACAATACATTCCAGAAATGATTTATCAATGAGATTTAATGTAAAAGATCGAGGAATAGAAATTAATATATCATCACACACACCCACACATATATATATATATACATATATATATATATATATATAAATCAAAATACTATTGATTTATCAGTCAATGATTACTCACTAAATTTTTTTTAGTTTCTTTAACACGACTCTT